GGAAGGCAACTGTGTATAGTGCATTTCGACTAACGGAGGAAGAAGAATAGCGGGTAGAACATAAAGGTTCCTGATCGGCCGAGCGCCGACTGGCGTGACGTAGAGGCGGTGTGTGGGCGCCAGAGTGTGTTACCGATGCTCAGTTTGAGTTGAGTTGGGCCCCACACTCGGTAACGTTCATGTTCTACCCGCTATTCTTCTTCCTCTGTTAGCCGAAATACACTATCTAGTGTGCTTGGGCGTTTAATTGTCGCATTCAAAGTTAAACGGAGATTGCTTTCACGCTACACTTATTCGCTCATGGGCGTCTCTCCACAGTAGTCCACACGACACACTTTTTAAACGAAGCCGTTAGGGTCGATTCTACTGGGTGTCCACCTATACACAGGACAGTGCGTAAAGTTGCCTACGTGGCGGGCGCTGGCAGCCGGCCCCCTCCACCGCTTCCACCGCTAGAGTCTCTGTGGCGGGAACAGGAGGCTCTCAAATGGAGGTGGGGTTCGTATCCGCGAGTGCCCCAGGGGGGCAACCACTACGCAACGCAACCCCGCGAGGGACGCGGCTCATCCCGCGGCCTCGCGCTACCCCCTAGACTTCGCGTTACCCCCGCAGGGGTAGGCTGCGCCCTTCGCGGGGGTCTGGCGCGCAACCCCCGCGGGGGTAGCGAGAAGCCGCGGGGGTAGGCCGTGTCCTTCGTTGGGGTACATTACGCAACCCCCGCGGGGGTACGTCGCGCAACCCTCCCGCGGGGGTTGTGCGAGGCCGCGGGGTGGCAAGTCGTGAGCCACGCCACGGGTGTATTTAGATTCTCCGACCTGGTGATTTTTCCAAAATCCCCAAAAGTACTGTCCGTCCGTCCTCATTTTCTTCGACCTCGCTCGTCAATATTCTGAAATTTGGGAAGAATGTGGCTTCAAAGACAAACAGGCTTCAGTGCCATGAAGGGGTACTTTAAGTGCAGTGAGGGAAAGACCGCGACTATGACGGAGTGTGCAGCCCCACGTCACAGAACAGTCACAAGTCCGCTCGGCGCCGTAAATGCTCAAGCCCAACCCCCCC